ACATTCTGATTCTTCTGACTGAATCCATTTCACTACTTCCAACTCCATGCTTCAGACACTGTACATCCTTTTGGGACACATTCCCATGCTCCAGAGCCTTTGAGCTTGGCATTAAACTGATCAGAATTGAGACCCTTCCTACAAGGTACTTGCTTATCCCGATCAGCCAGTTTTCCAGAATGCCACTAGGAATTGAAAATAAGGAGATTTTATTCATATTTTACACAGCAGCAATTGAGAGGAGCAGAAGTAAATGTCTAATCAAAGATCACTCCACCTAAGAGTCAAAAAAAGAACCCAAGTCTTCCTTTCAAAATGGATTTGCCTATCTTCTTCCAAGAATCTAACGCAAAATTGTCCCCAAAACTGTAGGACATTTGCTTATATCCTCTACTCCTAAAAGCTGCAAAAAATGAGACAAAGGTATTACAAACATTAGAAGTCAAACAATAACTTAAATAGCAAAGCCAAGCACTCAAAATGTAAGAAACATCAGATTTGTTTGCTGTACAACATCAATTGTGTGCCTTGATTGCCTAGCTGAAACTTTTATCTTCGTGCATTTATCATGCAAAGACTGTAACACACTGCACATGTACAGAAGAGATTAACGTAGGATGAACAGGAAGTTATGTATCTTAATCCTTCTGAACTTTTGTGTTTGGCACTGCAGTCAAAATATATATTTTTTTTTAAGTTGGGAAGGGAAGAGGGATGGCGGTATCAGTTCCCTACAAAGATAAATAGTACTGTATACAGATATTTGACTTCTGAACCCTCAGCAATGCAACATGTAAGGATAAAGCCACTGTCTTCAAGGAAAGCATTATCCTAAGCCCATATACTAAAATCCTAAGGGAAAACAGACTACGCTTTCTCTGTTTCAGCAGCTTCCACCATTCCTAGAGAAAGGTGGCTCCTTCCTCACATGCTGTCCTGCATCTAAGCCCATCTACTGAAGCTAGAGGAATTTTCATGGGAAACCTGATTTCGTTTTTCTCCCAAATAACTGGGAGAAGATGTATCAAATGATGGCCCTGGGATATGGGAAGAAAATCTTGTTATACTACTGGACTGCAGAGGCAGTTTAGAATCTGGATAGTGCTGTATGTACCGATCAAGTCAATCTCATTTAAGAAAATTTAAAACATTTCCTTATTTTCCCCTGTCCTTTTTTGACAGTGAAGGAGAAATCACTTAGCTGTCGAGAGGAGAGATTCAAAGAGCTTTCAAATTTAGATGAACACTTTGGTAATTTTTCAGGTGATTTTTCTTGTAATTTTTAAAAAGGTAATTCATAATTCATTTTATATTCTCAAGTTATCACTCTCAACACTTCTTAATGAGTTGCCAAAAGTTACTGCCAGCTTTTGCAATTTCTTTGGCGCGCTATTTAATAACCTGTGTTTTACATCTAACTACGTAGCTCATAACACTTCCTTAACACAATAATTATTTAAAGTGTATATACAAATTAACTATAACAATGAAAACAATCACTTAGCTGAGTAACTTGTCACACTTGACACTGGCTAAAAACTGAAGAAAAGCAACCATAATACCTATGAACCATGAAAGCTACGGCTTTTCTGAGACAGATCATACATTCTTCGTAGTAGGATACTATCTCCTAGAATGCTTACGGTAGACTGCAAATTTCCACCTGCACAGACTTTCTACATAGGTAGAAGTAGAGTAAAACACAAGCTCAGTGACTGAAGTACATCACTAAATTCTACATATTTAAAGCACCTTGCATTTTAATCCAAATAAAGCTATCTTAAAATAATTTAATAAAAACATAGTAGTAAATTTAATGAGCTCTGCGCAGTAAAATAATAATCATTCCACTAACATATTGGAGAGAGAGGTATGATGTTCTAGAGGTTAAAACCGCATAGCCTGCAACGTTCATCAATCTTGCCAAATATTTCGCAGGACTCAAGCAATTAATGTTTATATTCTGTTTGTCTTGAGCTAATGGCACACACAATTTTTCTGTGTTTCAGTCACAGTGAAGGCTAGGACTCTTGAATATTATACTTTAAAGACATAAAAACATAAGACGCTATTTTCCATACATTTTAAATTTCTACTGAAAATTTTAATTGACAGAATTTAGCTTTCTGACACATCAGAATTTGATTCTGAAAGGAAAAAGTTTAATTATAAACTCACTGAAAAAATTATTTTTCAGTACGCACAATTTCCTGTATTTTAGAACTTGATCCTTTTTCTTGATTAATCATAATGGCTACTCAAACAAATAACTGACACTTCTAAAACCTTAGTATAGTATTTGTCATTGGACATTTCCCCCAGAAAACCAATGAACAGTCTCTGGCTATAAACCATCCACCTAATGAAACAGAAGTCTAGTGTCTAGTTCTGATATGATAAACCTTCAGCATTCTAAACCTTTACAATCTGGTTTTAAAAGGCTGTCAACCATCATTTTTAAAGAACACTCTAAGGTCAAACATATCTAAAACATAAGCACTGTAAAAATAAAAGAAGAGTCTGCAGACCACATGCAGAGTCATGGAAGTTCAACGTACATTTCCCAAGGACAATATTAATTATTTCTTATCCTTGTTAATTACAACAAATAAAGAAGTGATGCGGTACAGTTTGAGCAGCTACTTCAAAGATCCATCAAAGGAGATGAATCCTGACAAGCTACAATACCATGATTCTAATTCCGCCACACTAAAATAATCAAACTTTTGCATCCTGTAAGACGTTTATCATTCATAAGGCCTTGCTGTTTTCCTCTATTCTCAACCAGCTTATTAGCACTAACAACTGTAAAGGAATATCTATAATGCGGTGGGGTATTTATCTGGGCAGAACTGCACAAAAACAACTACATCTTTCTAATACCTGAACTCCTTCAGATTTTAGGTACCTCTACAAACACATGAACATGCAGCATCCTCACAGGTTTATTTTTATATAAATCCAGCAAGTCAGATTATACTCTTTCTGCAACCTTAACTGCTTCATATAACTAGAGAACAGCTGCCTGAGGCCAACATGACCAACTCCCAACATTTGCTATGCACACACCTTAAGGTTGACTTTGGGATCCAAACTCCAGTCTTCTAATAAAGACTGAACACACACAGCCAAGCAGTTGGTCTACATTTTTGTATGCTTCCTAAGATTCTATGTACAATAGAGGTGGATTCCTCAAACATTTTCAAACTACAGACAATTTGTTATTATTTAATTCGCTATGAATGTTGCCACTCTGAATTTTAATTCTGTATGCTGGCCACAGCAGTTAGTTACATGAAAACTAACAGTATGAAACAGAAACAGCTAAAACGAACTCATTCTAACAGACTGCGATCATATTCTTGGTACAGTCCCACCCCTCAATTTCTGTTTTGCATTTATGATATGCACTTGTCTCAGGATCCATTGCTAGAATGTGTGCTATACAGTCCCTTGTAGTTGTTGCTAAAGAACTGACTATTTATTTACAAAGAAAGACCCAAACAACAAAAGACAGACATACAAACTGAAGAACTTGTCTGGATTTTTGTTGTCATCAAACTAGTCAAAAAATCTTGAAATTAACACAAGCTTATCTCTGTGCTTATTTTTCCTGAAACACATTTATCTTTGAAGGCTTCTACAAGTCTTCTCATCCTTCCAGATACCACAAATTTAAACATTAAATGGCTGCCTTCTCTGCGAAGAGTTCTTTTATGAATTCCATCCAATACTACACTTAGCTCTCTTCTTAGAGCATTAAGTTCTTCAAGTGTTTCCAGGCTTTTATTTATGCCTTTCCTGAGACACATTCCATTGAGCTACAAACTTCCTAGTGACAGTCGTTTCTAAAACTTACATTCTAGTTGGCTACCCTGCGTTTTAGATTGCCTCATGTTAGTAATTTATTTTCAAGGCTCCGATTTTATTCTGGCTTCCTTCTCTTCTGAAAAGTTTATCGTTGTTTTCAGTTTTGAATTAAACTTAATTTTTTTAGACAATAAATACGGTGTAATGCACAAAGCATATAATGCGACAGTAATCAAATGTTAAACATCGGGAAATACACGTTTAAGTTATTTCAAGCAACCTATACAACGATCAGTTAAAAAATTATAAAGACATCCTCTTCATCTACTTCCACTCATAATTACTTATCACTTCTGCAAACAAAGACCTTAGGCAAAACTACCTTAAACTATTATTATTACGGCACAGCTGCCCTGTACTAACATCCAAAGCTGTTTGCCTCTACATTTTAGTAAGATAGTTCAGCTCTAGCCCCAAACAGCCAGAAGCTAAACAGCCTCCCTACAAAATTTTAAACCAATGCAGCCTACCAAGGAATTCAAAAAACAATACACCTTCACGCTTGAAAATAAATCAGTTCTGAGTTGAAATAAACACACTCCACTGAAGAGTTTGGGGTAGGAAAGCACACTATCCTGTCAATCCATATAAAAAAGGAAATGTAGTCATAACACAGACAAAACTTTAAGTATAGACAGATCACACCCACTGGTGAATCAAAGGAATCAAACCTTTCTTTTGAATAAAGTATATTAGAAAAGTTAATTATTGCAAATCCTTGTATTGAATGTGCTTGGCTTTTCCTTTTCTAATTTCTAGTGAAATCTAGCTATCCTGTGCATCCATTCAGCATGTGGGGATATCACAATGCTTCTGATTCAGAGGAACAAGGGGCACTTACTGAACCAGTGGCATACAGTCCAAACTAAGTTCTGGCTAAGACTCAGCCTCCTAGCCTCCAATGATCTAACAGTCTGAACAAGGTCTTGAGACACTCTATAAAGTAGATTTTTTCTGAAATACAAAAAAAATTCCTAGGCCTCAGAAAATAAACTGCATTTGAATAAGTATTTCCTGTTTTCACAACAAAAAAGGGGAGGAAAGCACATTCACAAAAACATATGAGCTAATAATGTGTAAGAGAGGAAAACATAATGCACAAAAGTAAAGTGAAATCAAGCCAAACATACCTGAGTTGTTGATAGGCGAAAAACGGGGCCAGCTGTGGGCACTGAAAGTCTAGGTGAAATGCTGGTAGGACCTTGTCCCTGCGTTTGTACTTGAGCCTGCATTTGAGCCTGTGCTAGAGCCTGCTGAGGCACCATTACAAGCTGTCCAGCATCCGTGCGCACCAAGACCATACCTAATAAGAAGAAAGTAACAGTAACTACAGAATAAAGAATAATATGAAGAATAATACATAAAGAACTATCTAACTACAGAATACAGAATAAAATTAAGGTATAGCACTGTACATTTTTCTTTATACTGTATCTTTTTTTTTAATTCTGGTGTAACATGAGATTTTATTTCAAAGAAGAAAAGGAGCCCCTACTAGCAGACAAAAACTAATACCCAATTCAGTTTGGAATTCAAATAACTGCAGTTTATGGATAACAGTGATGAAAAAAATGGCCACTTGAGTGTACAGGTGTACAGTGACTTTCAGCAGTCTAGCCAGGGTCAGCAGAATAAAATTAGAAAGAAATATTCATAAAAGTAAACTATAATGACAATCCAGTAGCTGAGAACAGAATTCAGCATGAACATACCAGGGACAATGACACGAGGGCTTTACTAAAACAACAGCTTTAGGGGATGTATACATGCAAACGTTAGGCCAGACACATTTCTGAGTATACAATATTTGAGATGTAGTTAATTGTTGAGCATTAACACATGGATTTATTTGGCACCCACCATCACTGTACTGGGAGGCACTACCTGTAGTTTAGACATCAAGAAAAAATATCATCATAGCCTGAGAACCAACACAACTAGTCCTCAGCACAAACTGATACAAGTGCAGATATTTTAGGAAAACACCAAAGGAATTGTTTTCAAATTAACAGAATACTTGGCAAGCGTTTCCTAACACTTTTTGGAAGTAAATGATAATACTTTCAGATTGTTTTCTAGTAACGCATTTTCACAAATAGAGGCCTTCTACACAACACAGCCAGTACCATCAAATTTTGCCCTAAGTGTAACCGGCCTAAGTTTTCCACAATCAGCGAGATAGAAAAGGGGAGACAACGGTTAAGTTGGTCCCTGGATCATCTGGAGCTTCACACTTATTCAAGATCACTGCAAAGCATGTGATGTGCGCCCTCTAATTCTCTCAGAATTAAGAAGCGGTTCCCCAGCCAGATTATTTTACAAGAATTTCCAAGTTACTTCCAGAATACATTTTAATAATTTAACCTAGATAGGATACACATAGGATACTATGGGTCTGTAGACAGAAAAACATCTTGCCCGTAACTACTGGAAAACCAAAAAATAAGGATCTAGGAAGTCAACTTTTATTCTGTTGATAAAGTCAGTAGACGTTGTTTCTGCAACTTATCTCTATGTGCAAATTGCTTCATATATATTTTTTAACTTTTCAAGGGAAAATAAAGAAGGTAAAAGCTTACATCAACTTCTAATTATTAGCTTCCCAGAAAAAAAACCACCTCAGTAAATGGACATGGTTTGCAACATATCATGAGGATAAAGAAATTTGAACAGTATGGTATCAAGCAAGTAACAAATTTCAAAAGTACCTTATACCAGGAAAGTCTTTCTTTCAGTGTCTGACATAGAAATACAAATCCCAATCCTAGGATAAACAGTGAGAGAACTGCAGCACCAATAAAAGCCCTCACGTAGTCTTAGGTGCTCCCAGGCAACCGTCACTGCTAAAAGCACAAAGAGAAGGCAAATTTCTGCCACACAAACTAAAGACTTGTGGAAATCAAGCTTTAAGGTAAAAGGCATAGAGAGCTACAGGAAGGACCACATCTAAAAGACATGATCCTAACTCTCTTTCAAAGCCCAGAGAGTAATTTTTAAAAGAAGAGTTGAAAAAAAGAAGAAACCCAAACCATAAAAATTCTTCAAAAAGACAGCATTTTACGCTCACTAGCCCTTCAAGCACCAAACCTCAGGGTTTATATTTGTAGAAAATTCTGTAAGCAGGTGATGTACTTGATATATGCCATTCCTAAACCATCTGGACACAAAAAAATTAGTACATTGCCAACTGGCCAAACAGGTATCATTTCTCTTATTATACTGTGAACCTTATATAAAAATCCTCATAGGATAATGCCTACCATGCATTAAAAAAAATACACGCTCTGTTGGCATTATACTGATTCACAGGTGTTTTCTTAATTTATATTCCAATTTTCTAAAACTCATTCTGAATAAAAAAAATTGAATGGAATGGACAAATTAATTGCAACACATGCCACACAGTTACAATAAAAGTTGCAGACTTAATTACCACTATAGATGCATGAATGTTCACATACTAATGTTATGTTTTAATTCAGTTTGGAGGACGTTAAGTTTCTTTTACTGAACAGTATGTACAAATTAGAATCTGGTTAAGTTATGAGATTAATTTCTCCTTACTGTCAGCCACATAAAGATGAAATACACAACTTATGAGTATTATATGCTAAAATAACCTATTCTCAAAAACTGGTTCTAAATTTCTGCTTTAGACAGAAGTTTACAATATGGGAGTTTCAAAATTAATTATAAACGATCCACTAATTTAAAGAGTAAAAACTGAAAAATAACATTATATTTTCTGAATACCTTCATCTTAGAACATACTATCTTCATGTTTATGCAAATTTAATGGATTTCAAACTATCTTGTAATAAAACAAAATTGTAACTTTCCACAGTATTATTTCCATAACATTTTCTAAACCTCGGACCAGATCGCTTTTAAGGGCTCCGTTTTCCTCTTCTGTTTGAAAATTAAGTAGCAGAACAAAGTATTGGCACAATAAACTTCAGAAACTGTATGCAGTTATGATGCACATTATCATATGTGTATATTAATTATCAAACAGATTAACAACACGAAATCAAAGGCTAAAGGCACTAATACAGTCTTAATAGCAACCTCTTATCTGCTTTAAGTTAGTTAGGTCTTGATGGAACCACCGAGCTTTATTTGGTTGGAGCATTAGAATTTGGTGCAGGCGTTTCATAAACTATGGCCAAAGACACAACTGCTAGAAGTCCACTTAGAAGCAAGCTTCTATACCATCACATTTTTGCTCCACTTAGCTAATAAATGTCAAATATTTTAAGAAACACGGTGGAAGAAGTAAGTTACTTCAGACTACATCAATAGCTCCACATATTATCATGCTATTGATATTAATAGCAAAAAATAAAAAATTAGTTCAAATGTTAAATCATCTCCTAAATCAAGAAGGCGCAAAGTTACCAACTCTTTGCAACATGAAAATCTAAGTAGAGGACCACAGAACCCTTCAAAATTTCAGGTGAAACAATATACAGTTAGAGTAGGAATCACTAGGATGAAGGGATGTTGTTTTGGTTAGTTAGCAACCTTGCTGAACTTATATTTTTAGCAATGAAAGTTAAGAAAAGGAGAATAGACAAGACACAACAGTTACTTCAGAGTTAGAAATAAAATCCGGTAATGTAGACTGCCCAGATGCAACAGAGAATGACACCATCACACTTACTGGAATCATAGAATCGTTAAGGTTGGAAAAGACCTCTAAGATCATTGAGTCCAACCGTCAACCCAACACCACCATGCCCACCAAACCATGTCCCTAAGCGCCTCATCTACACGTCTTTTAAATACTTCCAGGGATGGTGACTCAACCGCTTCCCTGGGCAGCCTGTTCCAATGTTTAACCACTCTTCCAGTAAAGACATTTTTCCTCATGTCCAAAATGAAACATTTTAGATTAAATCACACAAATTAGCCTATATTTGCCACCTGATTCTCGGCAAAAGACACCCTTTGAAGAAGGAAAACTTTTCAAAACTATCAAGAGTAAAGCAGAAAATAGAGTCCTTCAAAACATATATAAAATTATTCTAACAGCCCAGCTTTTTATCTCGTGCACAACTGCTCACTACACCATTACAAAATAACTTACCGTGACTGCCGCTCCCTCCCTAAGACAAAACAAGTAACTCATCAACCAACAGTCATTATTACTTTGCATTAGCAACCGCCCGTCCCGTACCAATTACATCCTCATTAACGGCAGCCCGTTTGTCAGACGTCGCCCTCAGACAGGTGGCTCTTCTTTTGTTTCCAGCACGTCGAGCAGCTGGAAGACGACAACTTTGGGAAGAAAAAACCTCAGCCAAGAAAAAAAGGTTAGAAAGAGCGGCGAGCCCGCGACCGCGGCGTTTCCACTTACCGGGCGGGATAGTGAAGCCGGGGGGCAGCTGGATGGTGGTCTGCTGAGGCGGCCTCACGATCAGCTGGGGGGCCACGATTCTGGGGGCTGCGCCCAGCGCCGGCCTGGGCGACA